GCTTGTGCCGGTCTGCGTACGTTTTTTGTCACAGGCGTTTGCACATTTGTCTGACCTGATTTAGGAACAACCGAGTCCGGTTCGTCTGTATCTGTAGCCCGTACTTTGTTTATGAACGGTCTTAAACGTATTTCAGGTGGCCCACGTTTTCTGTTGTCGTGCCACGCTTGGACGGCCGTTGATACCATCTCAGGTGTAGCCACGGTGACTTTCAAAATTTTTGGCCCGTTACTCTGATAGTTTAAGGAGGCTGCTAGACGGGTGATATCGAAAGTCACGATATTTTGTATGTTGTAGAGCTCCGTTATGTACCTCCACTCTTCGATATCGTGCTTCTGATATTCATTTATATCGCCATGGTTAAGTTCTGGAACACCGTGGACCAGCACTACTTTCTTCGTCGCATCATGTCGTGACGCGACTGGGTCGGATTTCCATTTTTGCCTTTCTATCCATGGTTTATCTGGGAAAATGCGGGCGCTGAGAGAGGAATTTGTTAGCTTGTGGCCTGTCAGGAGCACATCCTCCAGGTCGCGTGTGTTACCAAATGTTACTCGTAATAACCGAGGTTGTCCTAAATGCGGCGAGGATGGATTTCGGGAAATGCGCGTAAGACTAGTTGCAGGAACGTTAATTTCGAGAGCACAGCATATCTCTGCCCAGCGGTTTTGTTCCTCCACTTGCCTACCTTTTAGCGACTCGCTCGTGGGCTCTGGTACATTTGAACACATAAATGTCAGAGCGTTTTTGTTGTACACTAACTGCTTATCCTGAGAGTTGTTACTGGTGGACATTTGTCTAGGTTGACTACTCATCTTGTCCCTTGTGCAGGGAGAGCCTGCGCTGCTACATGGCTGCATACGCGGAACGCCGTTTGTTGTGCTGTTTGTGGGGGTCAAATGTTGCTGTCCAACCCGTGACAGGGTTGAGTGTGCAGTTTGTGCATAGCTGTTTAAGCCTTGAGACACTTCACAAAACTTGGGAGGTCGTTCGACAGGCCTGTCTTCGCTGGCGTCCATCAACAATGGTGTGCTATTTTTACCGTACTGTGTGGCTTCTTTACTAAATGGCTTTCGCCTTTTGACAGGTCTGGGATTCGGGCTACTTAATACACTAATCTGCGACTCAAGTTCAGTGGTTTTTTTTACCAAGCTAGTAGTCAATTCCTTTAGTTCTGTGACCGTTAGGGCTAAACTTTCACATTTCGCCATAAGCACTTGAATGACCCTAGCCAACGGTTTAGTTGAACATGCGTCACACACACACAAGCCGTCGATCGACATACAGTGTTTTGTAACCCCATCGAAGGAATTGGAACAAAGCGAGCATGTGGTGACCGACGTGTCTGGACCACTATTGACCTTGGATTTGTTGTTCATTGGCGTAGCTTTGAGACTGCATCGGCCCGTCATGTGCACGCGAGGAACAGTGGACATTGGAATATCACAAAGGCTTTGCGTGGCAAAACGCGCTAAGGGAGTTACAGCGGTAATTGCGTGATCACAAAATAGCCTCTATTTGTGGTATCTAGAGGTGCACTACAATAAGTAAGGTGTTGTCTAGTAGCCTTAAAAAAGCTCCGTCGAATGGTATCCCAATGTAGTGGGAAAAATAAAAAACAACGCAGTTTCACAAGCAGGTCTTACCGAATGATCTGTCAAAGACGGTGTTCAGGATTTGCCAGTGTGTCGTTAGTAGTACTGCAGAAAGACTGAATCCGTTGGATAGGTCTTGACAATCCGAGACGATTGAGTGTAATTCCGAAGATGTGGCACAAAATGGAAGGCGAATAGAGAGAAATAACACAAATTATCCAGGAGCGCGCGTCACGCGTTAACGGATGTCCCGTTTGTACGTGTGCTGTACACACACCGGAATTGCACATAGAGGTGCGGATAGTCTTATGGTCACTCCTCACCCGTCTATTTCTCGTGGAATTCCAGTGAAACCACTGCATTTGTCTAGAATGAGGCGGCTTTTTCCAGTCGAAATGTTTCACATCCTCCTACAAATCTTGGTATTTATGATACAAGGAGCGAAAAATAGGCTCGAAGGATCCGGAATCGTCCACCATTGCTTCGCTTGCAATGTGCTCCAAGAGCACCGCTCTTATACTATGGCCCCTTATAACCGCGCTTTCACGAAACTGAAATCATCCATTCTGTTGTACGTTTTCATGATCATTATTGTTAGTAAAATGGTTGTACACCAATTTTAATATCCTCCAGTAGCAAAATGTGAGGCGCCTTCGTGTACCTAACCGTCAAGGCCCAAGTACCTGATTACATGAAATTTGAAGACCTCAGTCACCGGTAGCTCCAGTTTTTGCTAACTGTATCGCCTAGTTTCCGGGGGTTGACATTTTTACCAGCATTGTATTATACTTGGATTTTCAGTTAAAAATCAGAAGCTAGCACCCATTGTCTTAGCTCCTCTGCTTTTGCTTCAGTGTATCCTATTTCGGTTTCATTATCATATCTACAGTAAAGACACGTTCAGTGAAGAAAAAACGTATTATAGGCCAGGAAGCTTCCACTTTAGTTTAAACACTGTGACAGCGAACTAAAGTACTCGGAACAACGGCTGAAAGCCATAATAAAGATAATACCCATATCAGTGTATTCGCTGTGGAATCTTCCATGGACTAAATGCTGGCCTGAGAAAGACACCAGCAACATGTCCATCCGTAGCTGAAACTGCATACGCTGAACAAGCATTAAATGTCGACATGTTCACATCGATATTGACATCTTTGCAGAGTCTAGCTGTCTTATTTGCATCGCCTCAAATATTGATAAAATGAACTTCATGAAATGCTCTGAACTGCTAGACATTTTTCGACCGAAGTACACAATCGGGTATTCCGTTCATGAAATCCGGTTGTTTATAGGTGTCAGACAATTTACCATTAAAGCTACTATGAAATTGCTTCTCACTGTACGCCATACGCAACCTTGTTGGTCCAGCTGCATCAGTTTACGCAAAAATGTAATCCGTTACGCGTGTCTCATATGTTTTCAGTTTCAAACCAACCTTATTGCTAAACCATTCATTGAACTGCGCCACTTCCTTGTGCTTAATACGACATTCAAACGTCTAAAATTTTGGAGGACAATACCAAGCTACAACGAGAGATAAGGAGGCGAAAGTCTGAGGTAAATCGGAATGCCAAACAGCCACATGGCGCCCTGCATCCAGCTGATGTTGCTCCACCTAGATCTGCATAATACTCCGCTCGCTGCAAATAGCGGCGACGCGGTGAAGAATTATTTAATTTTTGAAAGTAACGAGGAATCACAAGAACATGCGGGCCGTTCTATTGCATTAGATGCTGTGTCTGGTAAAACACCTAATTCTCGCAATTCGGATCCCAACATCCCCTTTTTGGGCGGAGAGCCAACAGCCGTGACTGACACCTCTTCCCATTCGCTTCCTTCTATAAGGCAGATTGGTTTTGACTTCGCGCTCATAAACGTCCCTAACATACTAACTACTACGGTTCTTATTAATCCCTCCTTGGGTGTATGGCAACCCATTAGCACAGCCAACTCTCCATAAGGTAGTATTCGAACCAGTATCTAACAGGGCCTAATTTTCAAAGAATCCTAACGGACCTTCTAAGCGTACTGGTAAGACTCCTAAACAAACCTCTGCTTTAGAGGTAGCAGCGCAAGTGTCTTCCTGAGGGGGCAGAGCAATGCGTCTTGGCTCTGAATGGATCAGCGGAGGAGCCTGTCCTATAGAATGTGCACTTGGCTTCCTTCTTTTTCTTTACAGTTGACGGATCTGTGGCTTACCTACAGAGACGTGTAGCATCCTCTGGATTTTATGAGGTTCCACCTGCTAGGAACATCTGAAACCAGAAAACTCCGGCACACGGCTATTTCATGTCCACCACCACTGGTTACACACACAGGTCTTGAAAAATTACTTGTATTTGTATAGAGGATACGGCTACGTTCGTTTCGGTGCGTTCACCGCGGAAGGCTGTTGTAACGAAACTGAGGAAGCAAATTAACGGAATCTACCTCGCGTGACGCGAGATTCCGCTGTTACGAAATCCGCCAGGTCCTAGAGATCGACTCCTTTCCGTCGTAAGTAATGAACTCAGCTAATCTTGCCCGTCTGGACAGTAGGCTGGTTAGTATCATAAAGCTACCCGCTCGACGGTAGCAATGGAATTCAGGTGGGCTAGAAATGCATCTGGGATAGGACGATATAACAATTTCCCATTTTCAAACGCATCCGGGTGCACTGAATCAAGGTGAGTGGAGGTCACGCGACCTGTACATTGGTGACTGCACAGAGTCGAACGGGAACGTGACCGGACATGTGAATTCGAATAACAAACGCAGCCACCACCTGAAGGACTTCATGAGAACACGTGAATTCCCGAAAAAGTGGAACATACATAGCGAGGTCAGCAGTGACCATCTTAACATAAAGGATTGGGCCTGATGTTTCGGGAAACTTGCATCAGAGCCCAAGAATGTCTGCTGGCTGTTTCATATATGGCCCATTGTTAGAGTCGAAAACTACCAAGCGAGCAGACAAATGTCACTCCCTGACTGATCTCACTCCACAATGTATTTGGTAAATTCATGTTACGAAATACAAACGAGGTCGCCAAGGTGTTGGTTCTTGCACAGATGCCAGCACAGGGAGGAAGTTACGGAAAAGATTCGCTGAATAATGGGAGCTGAACCACGCAAATATTGGGCCACCGTGTGCATTTCAACAAAGTAAACAGCAAAGAAGGCGGACGTCAAAATCCTAGAAAGTGATTAATGTTAACGACAAAAGGCCGACAACCAATAGCAACTGTGGGGAGTAAGAATCATTACAGTCCGTAGTCGACACATCATTTAAAGGCGACAAAGTACAGGAGTGCAATTTTGAGTAAAAAGACTGCTCACAACCAACAGGTAGAAGTAAACGTGAAGAGGATGCGACGCGAAGTGGAAGAGTGACAGCTGTGTGTGAGAGAGTTGGAGAAGACCTTAGTCTGAGTCTGAGTTATCGTCCCCGTCAGAAAGCCCATGTGTGATTCTATTGACCGATCGGCCAGTCACGGTGGAAATGCGCACACGATTTGCTGGGTCTTCAGACAGCTTGGTTTCTAGGACACCCAGCTTGGCCAGACGCCACTCAAGGCCTACATGTGAAAGAGGGAGGAAGGTGGACCGATGAAGACTGGGAGATGGATCCAGTAAAGAATACGCATCAGTCGCATGTGCAAGAAGTGTTCAAAGACACATGTGGCGACCAAACCAGAGATACAGCAAAATATATGTGCTCAATGCAGAATAGTTAGGGATGACAAACGAACCAACTTTGGTGTGCAATGGGAAACGAAGATGAAATGCAGCGGACCGAGTCGCATCTGAGAACACGGGTGAAATAAACAGGCACTGACCATTGGGACAAACATTCGGCGGAAGAATTCTGTGGTTTTTGGAATTATTCGTCACAGTAGATCAAAATACAATTTAGGTATAACTACCAAAGGGTGGCAGCACAGGATAACATGAGCTGTATTAGACATGACAAAGGACTATGGATAAAATAATCGGAATAGAGAGTAAAAAAGATAAATATCGTAAGAGAAATGCTAAAGTAAGAAGCAAGCGACGGATGAGAGAGTATCTTTAACGTTTGAATACCGAAGCGATTGACCTACAGATACCATACAAAAAGCCGGTATGCATCAAATAGATCAAGATCACGCTAGTTTGCTTATAATCATCTAAGATGTATCGTAGCACCATGGCTAAATTGGCTTCATATGCAACTAATTGATTTGCAGGTTATCCACATAGGTCTTGCGGATTTCTTCAGGGATCACAACTAGACGTTCAGGTAAGACAAAAGCAATACCGATTAGTAAGACTACACTCAACCAATAGAGCGAGTCAATTTGAAGATTCTATGATCAAAGAACAAGGAAGAACATTTGGAGATAATATAGGTTACACCTACAAACATTTAGGATAATTCCATCACTTTGCTGTCGTCGCAGAAATACCGACTGCACCTGCAATAGAGATAGCCTGCTCATAACCACCGCACTCGGGGTGGAGGTTACGCACACCAGGCCATAGCATAAGCACATGAAGCAGTAGAATAAATGAACGATGATATATTACTGGTAAAAAAGCGATTGCTTTACAAGTCCCGTAGGATGGTTGAAGTGAATGTAAACATAAGTGTAAATCGTCAGTTTAAGCGTCTAGTGAATTCAAGTGCCCCTTATTCACAGAAACTTTGTAGAATGTGTACTGAATTGTTACTGTAGTGTAATATGGGAAGTAATATGGGTAAAGCATGTTTTAAGAACAAGAGAAACGACCAACGCTTACTCGTGCGCCGCTTTCTTGGAATGGGGTAAATTGATGAATGCAGTTGTAATATATCCGAAACTATATTCCACAACAGCAGTGTGTAAATAGTGAAGCACATAAGCTGAGAATGAGTACCGTTTTTTTCGCGTTTGTATGATGTGGACATCTCTGATTATATAGCGTAATGTAGGTGGATAAGCGAATCATCAAGACGTCTTTTGAATAGCGATAGCGTGGGGGAAGAAACAAGGTATGTGGGAAGAGCGTTCCAGTGTTTGCACACACGAAGGGAAAGGAAATTCCGGCGGCATTCCAACCGGCTGTATTATGTGGCCAACTTTAGCTAGTGTCCTCTGAGTGTTGTATTGCTATTCAGTTTTAGTAAGTGACGATAACAATGATTTGGATTCCTCAGGATCATATAAGTCATTATCAAGTCGCCACGCAGGCGTCGATATTGTCCACTGTAGACCCCGAGGGTTTTCAGCCTCAATCGGCAAGGGAGATGATACAGGCCCTTTACGTTCTTGGTCGCCCTTCGTTGTGGTAGTTCAAGAGCGGTAAGGTCTTGCTTTTGCCATGGCTGCCAGGCGTGAATCGCGTACTCAGAATGAGGCCGAATGTAGGCGTTGAGCATCTGAGAAAAGATGGAAGGATCGAAGCGCCCGAATGCCCTCCGCAAAAGGCCAAGGTTTTGGTTAGCTTTTTTGGAGGCTTTCTCTGCCTGAAGGGAACAGCCCAGATCTTCCTGCACTATCACTCCTAGATCGCACTCCGTTGTAATGCGCTGCAATATTTGATCCCCCAGTCTGTATTCGCAAGTGGCTTTATGGCGTATGTTCAACACCTTGCACTTTGTAGCATTGAACTGGAGCAGGTTCTGTGTCGACCATTCGTAGACCCTGTCCAGATCATCCTGAAGTGTTGAATTGTCGCTGGTTGTTCTAATGGCTCGCCATATCTTGAGATCATCAGCGAAGAGTAAGGAGTTGGAGTTGATTACTGTCGCGAGATCGTTTATGTAAATCAGGAATAGTCGTGGACCAAGTACTGAGCTCTGGGGCACTCCGCACTTAACGTCGATTGGGTCAGAGATGACGCCGCGAACTCTTACATTCAGATGTTGTTGAAGCAAGAAGTTAGCTATGCAACCGAGGATTGCGTCAGCGATTCCACAACACTGCAGCTTGTGAAGAAGGATACGGTGGTTCAGACGGTCGAAAGTCCTTGAGAAGTCCAAATATACTGCGTCAACATCTACGCCGCTGTCAACGGTCTCAGTCCAGCTGGATCTGGCAAGCAGCAAGTTTGAAGTGCAAGATCCGTTCTTGCGAAAACCCATGTTGTTCTTGTGCAATGATATCTCCTTCTTCCAAGAAGTTCATCAAAGCTTCGGCGACAATCGCTTCCATGATTTTGGAGAGCACCGAAAGTAGTGTTATCGGGCGATGGTCGGCCGGATCAGTACGACTTCCCCCCCTTATGGATGGGAGTGACGATGCCTTGCTTCCACATTGTTGGCACGCGCATCTCATCGAGGCATCGTTGGAAGAACTTGCAGAGGAGGTCCGCCAGGTTTACTGCAGCCAATTTCAACGCTTTTGGACGAATATTATCAACACCGGGAGAGGTATGCTCGCGCAGGACAATTAGCCTTTTCATAACATCCGCAGTCGTAAACATGATGTGGCCAAGTCCTGGTGGTGGTACAACGATTGGAAACAGTGTATGCGGCGATGTCGTGCTCTGGAAGTTCGGACGAATTGTTGACATTGGGCGTTGGCCGTTTCGGTTGCGTTTTGTGCAAGTCCACACAATGTGTGTAAAGCAGAAATTCTTCGCTGTACTTTGCGGAGCTTGTTAACGTGTCTGTACAGGAGCTTGGGGTTTGAAAGGAATTTCTCAGTTAAATTCTGTTAGTGCTGTATTTTATCTTCGCGTACCAAGTTTATGCAGTGATTCCTTTGGATTGTGTAGGCTTCCCATGTTTCGGCACTCGATGACTCCTTGTATCTTCGCCAGAGTAAATTCCTCGTGACGATACACTTGCGTGTCCTGCTGTGTATGAATGATTTTACTGTCTTCGCTCGCAAAGGTCTTTTCCTAGAAGCACTAGTTACTAACGTGTTGAATTTGTGAGCAAATTCAGACGACGGGACATCGGGGGATTGTTCTGCTAGAAATGCCCAGTTTGTAGCATTTATAAGTTTGAGTAGAGCGCTGTAATCCGTAATGAGCTGACATTCCTCGGTGTTTTCTGAGGAATATTCTGCATAACAAATGTACTTGAACATGAGGGTTGCATGGTTGCTACGGCCTAAAGGACTCTCTATCGATACCGTTTCGATCGTAAGCTAATCATTGGTGAATACGAGATCCAGGACACCCGGTTTGTTTCCCGTCCTGAATCTTGTGGGAGATGTGATGTGACTGTAGAGTAGCAGCCCACTGATAATCTCCTGTACTTCCATTTTGAAGTGTTCGTTGATACAGGCTGGGGTTTCTTTGGTATGAATATTGAAGTCGCCAACTAGGAGAATGTGGCTTTACGAATGCGAAAGAATGGTCTTCATTGTGGAGGCTAGGCGTTTGTCCATTTCCAAAGTAGCCGATGGAGGGCGATACACCCCACCCAACAAACATGCATCCCCACGGCTAAGTTGAAGACGACACCAAAGCGCATCGACAATCTGAACCTCTGGGTCATCGATGAGACCAATGTGTAGTTCGCTGCGATAATAAAGCACTACTCCACCTCCTCTACTTGGTCGATAGTTGCGTAGAAGACATCCCAGGTAGTGTGATTTCTGCATCAGTGATCGCTTCATTCAACCAGGTCTCGGTTATCATAACGAGGTCGCTTGACATCGAGACCTGACGCAGGCGAAGCTACGTCAGTTTGCTTAAAAGACCTTGTGCGTTGGTATAAAAACAGGATAGTGATTTATAGATTAGAAGGTTACTTGTGGATATAGACAACAGGTTTGAGACTTGGCCGACCCTCTTGAGGTCGGTTGCTACTAGTTTGTTGGAATTGTCTTAGGCTCACGAGAATGACTTGGGATAACTCTCTGCACCGTGTGATCAAGTTCATGATGATCCTGATGGTCACTCACCTCCTGCAGTGCCTCGCCGGATGCTATGACGGCAGTCAGATCAGTCTCTGTGGTGGACTCTGAAACAACGGTTGTTCCCACTGAGTTGGTTCTCTCCATGGAGTAACCAGTAGCCTCTGGTCGTAAACCTGTTGCTATAAGTCGAATTTCTGTCGGTAGCATGTTCCGGAATTTACTCCAGTTCTCTAGAACTATCTGTAAAGTTAGCTCAGATGGTAAGACCAACTTCAGCAAACTAGGACCACACCCTTTGTAATTTGGTGACACGGAAATCCTGATCACGGAGGTAGGAATGACATTTTCTAAAGACAGCGCCTCATGAATGTATCGCCAAACTGATTTAGCGCATACAAGGCAGATCAGCACAAACGCATTATTCTGTGTAATTAAAAAATTACTGTACTTATAAATATAAAGAAAATGATTCCGCAAAACCTAGAGCTTCGAAATTGTCAAGCTGACATGTTTGCTCAATGAATACTGTTTCTGCTGCCACATTCTCTCTTATCCATGGCGGGAGCCTATGGTGCGCGGAGGCTGGTAGTGGCTAGATCCTGACAGATGGTCTACCCACTGCTGCTACTGTTGTGGCATGGGCTTATGTGCTGCACCCCTCCTCGTGACGACCGCTTAGTGAGTTCGGTTACGCCCTTCTACCTGCTTAGATCCAGGACACCAATCCGCATGAGTCAGTGAAC